GGAGGCCATCGGGAAATGATGGCGTTCCGGGGAAAACAGTTTCATCAGCGCCCAGTCTCAGGCGACGATTGACTAGGAAGATCGAGTATACGCCCAGTAAATACAAGGTTAGTAGCTCATCTCACTGTTGCTGAGATAAGGTCCTAATAAATCTTCTTCTTCTTCAGCATTCTGTGTCTTTGAGGTTCATTGCTGCAGATATCATCTGCCTCCATTCATCTCTCTGGTTGGCTTTCTCTTTCCATTTAGCGACATCAGCTGTTTGTAGGTCTTTCTGAATATTATTGTTCCATTAGTCTTCTTGGTCTGCCTCGTGGTCTACAACCATTCAGCTCCCTTGTGTACACAGTTTTTAACTCTTCGTCATCTGACATTCTCTCAATATGCCCCAGCCATTTCGATCTATCGGCCTTCTTGGTGCCACTGGGCAGTGGTGACTCTACTTCATCTGCCAAGGTCAAAGTCTCGCAACACTAAGATCAAAATATATAAAAAGCCGATAAGACTAGTTGTTTTATTTGGCTCTGAAACCTGGAGCACAACTAAGAGAGATAAGGTATTATTACAAATTTTTGGAAGACAGTCATACAAATCTTTGAACCCGTCAAAGATGCAAACAGTGCTGCTTCTATTGCTACAGTATCTGTTTTTTCTCACCTCCTCTTCCTCCTAATCCTTTCTCCTCCTTTTCTTTTTCTTTTATTATGATGAAATGTCGATTATTGATGATTACTTTCAAAGAGGTTAATTAATCAAATCCTTTTTAATTCTAATGTCAAATTAGTACTGCTGTATAGAGCTGAAACATAGAGAATAGCTATAACAAAATGATAAACTACAAACATTTATCACCCTGTGCCTGTGCAGAATAGAAGGAATTGCATGGTATGATATAATCAATAATGCTGAGCTTCGAAAGAAAACTAAACTTTAGTGGACCAAGAGGTGAAGAAAAGACGCTGGCTTTAGATTGGACATACATTGAGAAAACCTGATAACGATATAACTAGAATGTCTTTGCTCTGGAGTCCACAGGGGCATAGACACAAAAGAAACCAAAACGCACGAAGAAGGAAGCTAGAGAATGAAGTTAAACGATGAGGAGGGCATGGGGTGAGCTGTATGAAATAGCCAAGGATAGACCGACTTGGCGTGAGTTGGTTGATGGCTTGTGTTTCATTGGGGGGGGGGGGGGGGGGGGGGGGTAGAATAAAAAGAAGAGGTCATAACATTCAGCTAAATCCGCTGTTTAAAAATTCATTCATTCAATATCCCGCTGAGCCATTTTATGTCACATGGGTGCAGTCTCATGCTCCATTCGGTTCTATTCTGCACAATCACTTCACTATCATGGATGGAATTCAGTACAGTAGCTTTGGCCTCTGTTGTCAACGTTTGACTTTTGGTTTCTGTTGGGCGTCCTTGCCTCCTTAATTCCTTTATGTCCCATTCCAGTGCCTGCTTGGTGATTCTCTGCTGGTTTTTTCTTATGATGTTTCTAATGTAGCGCCATCTTCTCTGTCTTATAACTGCTGATACACGTGGTTGCCTAGACATTTCTCTTATTTCTTCACGCCTTTTGAATTTATCCAATTTTATTTTCATCCTTTTGTTCAAACATTTGAACTTTCGTTCCATGTCTTCAGTTGTTCTCTAACTTCACTTGCATATGTTAAAACTGAAATAACGAAAGTGAAAATGCGTCATTTGGTTTTAACACTATACAATTTTGAGCCTGTTTAAAAATAGATGTCAAAAACATGGCCATTCGTCTCTGTCTCCCTGTCGTGACGTCACTTTACCGTGTCCTTCAACCTTCTTACCTGACCTAGAAACGACAGGAGTCTTCTCCTTTTACAAGAAACCAAAAACAAGTGTTTTAACAGGCTTTTGTCTAGTTTTATTAACACAGCTTTGTTTAGTTTGTTTTTTTTAACTCTCAGTTGTATATAATGCTCTCTGTGTTGCTTCTTAGCCCTTTTTGGGTTTCGGGTAAACAGAGGGAAAAGGTTGGGGGGGAGGGGGGGGGGGGGGGAAAACGTATGGAACCCTTGAACAGCATTTTATACAAAGGAACTTTTTAAGACTTCGCTAAAACCTAATATCTTGGGTCGAAATGCGAAGATATTTCATTTGAGCTGTAAACTACAATAAAACGTGCCAGGACCTCTTTGAGGGACGAAAAAGAATGAGGAGGGGGAGGGAAATCAGGGGAAGGGGGAAGAGGGCGACACAGTAATTCACCCTACCAGCAAACCAGAGTTTAAAATTAAAGGTTGCGTGCCAATTATTCCGTTTAATGCTTTACATTCGCGGGACACATATTCACACTGCAGCAGACGCACTCATACACATATTCACACTCCACCAGACGCACTCATACACATATTCACACTGCAGCAGACGCACTCATACACATATTCACACTCAACCAGACGCACTCATACACATATTCACACTCCACCAGACGCACTCATACACATATTCACACTGCACCAGACGCACTCATACACATATTCACACTCCACCAGACGCGCTCATACACATATTCACACTGCAGCAGACGCACTCATACACATATTCACACTCCACCAGACGCACTCATACACATATTCACACTCCACCAGACGCACTCATACACATATTCACACTCCACCAGACGCACTCATACACATATTCACACTCCACCAGACGCACTCATGTGTCTCGGCACACAGTTTTGACAGCCTTGTGTTAAAGGCAACGACTGTATCAATGGTTGTTGGCTGCTAAGTGGAATAGCTGATTAGATGGTTGGTAATTGTTGGATGGATGGTTAGCTTGTTGTATTTATGCTTGAGAAGATGGCTGTATGGGGGATGGTTACATTATGTGGTTGCTTAAATGGTTCGGATGGATGGTTAATCGGTTGAATTCTAATTTCGCTAGTCATGTGGTTTTTATTAACTGGTTGCCGGTATGGTCAGATAGCAGGTTGGTTAGTTAAGTGATACGTTATTGTCCCCACTTAAATTCTTGAAAGTCTGAGCGTATTTTGCATCCAGCCCTTTCAAGCATTCCTCTCTCATACCACAGTTGTATTTGCATCTAGAAACATGTAATTATCGTGACAGGGGTCTGCAAGTCTTAACTAGGTGAGAACCTCTCATATTGACTAATTGATACTGAAGACCTGATGTGGTCAACACTAGGCCAGTCGCCTTTACTTCCCATAATATTACCTGGTACTGATATCAGGCTAGGTCAAAATGGGAGATAAAGTCAGTTTTGAAGAAAAATACCTATGACTGCGGATTTGAACCCAAAAATTCGTGAAGGCAAATGGCCAGCCGTTAGTCTACCGTCGCTCCCTCTGCCACTGTATACATGCACATTTGACATGCAAGCCCCCGTGTGGGTTCCGGGATCCCATTTCGGTGACACACAAGAACAGACCCCACTGCCCCTAACAAGCATGTCGTACGAGTTAACTACTTAGCGGTGCTTCTTTTAACGTCAGAGTGCATCCGTCTGAGAGGCGAGAAACCAACAGTCTGAAAATAAATAAACTAAGTCTGTAAAATGAATGTGCCTACAAAGCTTAAGTTCTGGAGCAAGACTGAAGTCCAAAAGTGAACTAACAACCAAAACTTTCCACCAGAGTTTACAGTTGGTCAACGTGAAGAAGAAGAAGAAGAAGAAGAAGAAGAAGAAGAAGAAGAAGAAGAAGAAGAAGAAGAAGAAGAAGAAGAAGAAGAAGAAGAAGAAGAAGAAGAAGAAGAAGAAGAAGAAGAAGAAGAAGGATAAGAAGAAGAAGAAGAAGAAGAAGAAGAAGAAGAAGAAGAAGAAGGAGAAGAAGAATACAGTGAGGTAAAAATCATTGATTACTTTCTCTTTTATTGCACAGGATGATGATGAATACATCGGTTTTGCTACACTCCCGGAGCAGGTTCATAGAAAAGCTGTGAGGAAAGGCTTTGACTTCACACTAATGGTTGTTGGTGAGTTCTGAGTTCCACTGTCCCAGTGTCCCACAGTCAGTCACCTTGTGTGACATGTGTGTTAGTGTGAAGTGGGATTATTCTCTCCCCCACCCCACTCCCACCTTTTTTCCCCCAAATGGGGCTTCGAATTGGTTGTTGTTCCACTGATGGTCGTTGTTCCACAGATGGTCGTTGTTCCACAGATGGTCGTTGTTCCACAGATGGTTGTTGTTCCACAGATGGTCGTTGTTCCACAGATGGTTGTTGTTCCACAGATGGTTGTTGTTCCACTGATGGTTGTTGTTCCACTGATGGTTGTTTTTAAACTGAGTGTTGTTGTTCCACTGATGGTTGCTTTTCCACTGATGGTTGTTGTTCCATTGATGGTTGTTGTTCCATTGATGGTTGTTGTTCAACTGAAGGTTGTTGTTCCACAGATGGTTGTTGTTCCACTGATGGTTGTTGTTCCACTGATGGTTGTTGTTCCACTGATGGTTGTTGTTCCACAGATGGTTGTTGTTCCACTAATGGTTGTTGTTCCACTGATGGTTGTTGTTCCACAGATGGTTGTTGTTCCACTGATGGTTGTTGTTCCACTGATGGCAGATGTTTTACTGATGGTTGTTGTTCCACTGATGGCAGATGTTTTACTGATGGTTGTTGTTCCACTGATGGCAGATGTTTTACTGATGGTTGTTGTTCCACTGATGGCAGATGTTTTACTGATGGTTGTTGTTCCACTGATGGCAGATGTTTTACTGATGGTTGTTGTTCCACTGATGGTTGTTGTTCCACTGATGGTTGTTGTTCCACTGATGGTTATTGTTCAACTGATGGTTGTTGTTCCACTGATTGTTGTTGTTCCACTGATGGTTGTTTTTCCACTTATGGTTGTTGTCCCACTAATTGTTGTTGTTCCACTTATGGTTGTTGTTCCACTAATTGTTGTTGTTCCACTAATGGTTGTTGTTCCACAGATGGTTGTTGTTCCACAGATGGTTGTTGTTCCACTGATGGTTGTTGTTCCATTGATGGTTGTTGTTCCACTGATGGTTGTTGTTCCATTGATGGTTGTTGTTCCACTGATGGCAGATGTTTTACTGATGGTTGTTGTTCCACTGATGGCAGATGTTTTACTGATGGTTGTTGTTCCACTGATGGCAGATGTTTTACAGATGGTTGTTGTTCCACTGATGGCAGATGTTTTACTGATGGTTGTTGTTCCACTGATGGCAGATGTTTTACTGATGGTTGTTGTTCCACTGATGGTTGTTGTTCCACTGATGGTTGTTGTTCCACTGATGGTTGTTGTTCAACTGATGGTTGTTGTTCCACTGATGGTTGTTGTTCCACTGATTGTTGTTGTTCCACTGATGGTTGTTTTTCCACTTATGGTTGTTGTCCCACTAATTGTTGTTGTTACACTTATGGTTGTTGTTTCACTAATTGTTGTTGTTCCACTTATGGTTGTTGTTCCACTAATTGTTGTTGTTCCACTTATGGTTGTTGTCCCACTAATTGTTGTTGTTCCACTTATGGTTGTTGTTCAACTGATTGCTGTTGTTCCACTGATGGTTGTTGTTCCACTAATTGTTGTTGTTCCACTGATGGTTGTTTTTCCACTTATGGTTGTTGTCCCACTAATTGTTGTTGTTCCACTTATGGTTGTTGTTCCACTAATTGTTGTTGTTCCACTTATGGTTGTTGTTCCACTAATTGTTGTTGTTCCACTTATGGTTGTTGTCCCACTAATTGTTGTTGTTCCACTTATGGTTGCTGTCCCACTAATTGTTGTTGTTCCACTTATGGTTGTTGTTCCACTGATGGTTGTTGTTCCACTGATGGTTGTTGTTCCACTGATGGTTGTTGTTCCACTGATGGTTGTTGTTCCATCAATGGTTGTTGTTCCATCAATGGTTGTTGTTCCATCAATGGTTGTTGTTCCATCAATGGTTGTTGTTCCACAGATGGTTGTTGTTCCATCAATGGTTGTTGTTCCACAGATGGTTGTTGTTCCACTGATCAATGGTTTGTTGTTCCATCAATGGTTGTTGTTCCACTGATGGTTGTTGTTCCACTGATGGTTGTTGTTCCATCAGATGGTTGTTGTTCCACTGATGGTTGTTGTTCCATCAATGGTTGTTGTTCCACCGATGGTTGTTGTTCCATCAATGGTTGCTGTTCCACAGATGGTTGTTGTTCCATCAATGGTTGTTGTTCCACTGATGGTTGTTGTTCCACTGATGGTTGTTGTTCCACAGATGGTTGTTGTTCCACTGATGGTTGTTGTTCCATCAATGGTTGTTGTTCCACTGATGGTTGTTGTTCCACTGATGGTTGTTGTTCCACCGATGGTTGTTGTTCCATCAATGGTTGTTGTTCCACTGATGGTTGTTGTTCCACAGATGGTTGTTGTTCCACAGATGGTTGTTGTTCCACCGATGATTGTTGTCACTGATGGTTGTTGTTCCACTGATGGTTGTTGTTCCACAGATGGTTGTTGTTCCACTGATGGTTGTTGTTCCACTGATGGTTGTTGTTCCACTGATGGTTGTTGTTCCACTGATGGTTGTTGTTCCACTGATGGTTGTTGTTCCACTGATGGTTGTTGTTCCACTGATGGTTGTTGTTCCACTGATCCTTTATCACATTTTATGTTGACTTGTGCAAAATTTTCAATGCAGGTGAAAGTGGACTGGGCAAGTCAACCTTAATCAACAGTCTGTTTCTGTCAGAGCTCTACAAGGACAGGGAATTACCCAGTGTACAAGGTGAGTCCTGTCTACTGTTGTCTCAGATGAGTCAGGATGCTTCAGGATGTGCTAGGATGTCTCAGGATGAGTCAGGATGCTTCAGGATGTGCCAGGATGTGTCCGGATGAATATAAAAGCATGATGGTGATGGCTGTGAATGTAATGTAATGTTAATGATGATGTTGATAACATTAAAGAATGTCATTTCTTCTTCTTCCTCTTCTTCTTAATGTTCACTGGCTTAAACTCTGGTGGAAAGTTTTGGTTGTCCATCTATATCTGGACTTAAGTCTCGTTTCAGAACTTGAAAAATGCTTGTACATCCATTTTACAGATATGGCTTATTAGCATGCAGACTGTTGGTCCTTGACTCTCAGGCAGATGCCCTCAACTTCAATAGGAATCCCTTATTTAGTTGACTGTTATAATGTGTTTGTCGGGAGCCAGTGGGTCGTTTTTGTTCCTCCACAATAGGGCCCTGGAACCCAGACAGGGAATTTTCGATTATGTTAACGATAATGTTCATTATGATAATGCTGATGTGGATTCATTGATAATGATGATGTTCATGTTCATTATGATAATGCTGATGTGGATTCATTGATAATGATGATGTTCATGTTCATTATGATAATGCTGATGTGGATTCATTTGATGATGTTCATGTTCATTATGATAATGCTGATGTGGATTCATTTGATGATGTTCATGTTCATTATGATAATGCTGATGTGGATTAATTTGATGATGTTCATGTTCATTATGATAATGCTGATGTGGATTCATTGATGATGTTCATGTTCATTATGATAATGCTGATGTGGATTCATTGATAATGATGATGTTCATGTTCATTATGATAATGCTGATGTGGATTCATTTGATGATGTTAATGTTCATTATGATAATGCTGATGTGGATTCATTTGATGATGTTCATGTTCATTATGATAATGCTGATGTGGATTCATTTGATGATGTTCATGTTCATTATGATAATGCTGATGTGGATTCATTGATAATGATGATGTTCATGTTCATTATGATAATGCTGATGTGGATTCATTTGATGATGTTCATGTTCATTATGATAATGCTGATGTGGATTTATTGATAATGATGATGTTCATTACGATAATGCTGATATTAATGTTGTTAATAATAATGATGTTAATGTTGATTATGAAAAAAATGAAGCAGATAATTATAATGAACAACATAAAAACAACAAATATTCGTTAATTTCAGACATGGTACAGAGGACAGTAACAATAGAAAAGAAGCAACTGGAGATAGAGGAGAAAGGTGTCCGGCTCAAACTGACCATTGTGGATACGCCTGGTTTTAATGATGCGGTCAACGCCGAGAACTGGTGAGATAAATTACAACTAACATTTTACCAACATCAGTTTTGTCGCTACTACGGGTATTATCATTCCAACTTGGCAGCTACGCTTTATCTATTAGTTTTTTTTTTAAAACTTTTGACGTACGCTGTCTTTTTCAGTCAGTTACCCAACAAACATATGCTGTTAGACTCACATTTGTATGGACTAGCCAGTTATTGGTGGGTGATGTGTTGTCAGACTCACATTTGTATGATCTAGCCAGCTCTTGGTGGGTGATGTGTTGTCAGACTCACATTTGTATGGTCTAGTCAGTTCTTGGTGGGTGATGTGTTGTCAGACTCACATTTGTATGATCTAGCTGGCTCTTGATGGGTGATGTGTTGTCAGACTCACATTTGTATGATCTAGCTGGCTCTTGGTGGGTGATGTGATGTCAGACTCACATTTGTATGATCTAGCCGGCTCTTGGTGGTAGATTTGTTGTCAGACTCACATTTGTATGGTCTATCCGGCTCTTGGTAGGTGATGTGTTGTCAGTCTCACATTTGTATGGTCTAGTCAGCTCTTGGTGGGTGATGTGTTGTCAGACTCACATTTGTATGATCTAGCCGGCTCTTGGTGGGTGATGTGTTGTCAGTCTCACATTTGTATGGTCTAGCCGGCTCTTGGTGGGTGATGTGTTGTCAGACTCACATTTGTATGGTCTAGCCGGCTCTTGGTGCATGATGTGTTGTCAGACTCACATTTGTATGATCTAGCCGGCTCTTGGTGGGTGATGTGTTGTCAGTCTCACATTTGTATGATCCAGTCAGTTCTTGGTGGGTGATGTGTTGTCAGACTCACATTTGTATGATCCAGTCAGTTCTTGGTGGGTGATGTGTTGTCAGACTCACATTTGTATGATCTAGTCAGTTCTTGGTGGGTGATGTGTTGTCAGACTCACATTTGTATGATCTAGCCGGCTCTTGGTGGGTGATGTGTTGTCAGACTCACATTTGTATGATCTAGCTGGCTCTTGGTGGGTGTTGTGTTGTCAGACTCACATTTGTATGGTCTAGTCAGTTCTTGGTGGGTGATGTGTTGTCAGACTCACATTTGTATGATCTAGCCGGCTCTTGGTGGGTGATGTGTTGTCAGACTCACATTTGTATGATCTAGCCGGCTCTTGGTGGGTGTTGTGTTGTCAGACTCACATTTGTATGATCAAGCCGGCTCTTGGTGGGTGATGTGTTGTCAGACTCACATTTGTATGATCTAGCCGGCTCTTGGTGGGTGATGTGTTGTCAGACTCACATTTGTATGATCTAGCCGGCTCTTGGTGGGTGATGTGTTGTCAGACTCACATTTGTATGGTCTAGTCAGTTCTTGGTGGGTGATGTGTTGTCAGACTCACATTTGTATGGTCTAGCCGGCTCTTGGTGGGTGTTGTGATGTCAGACTCACATTTGTATGGTCTAGTCAGTTCTTGGTGGGTGATGTGTTGTCAGACTCACATTTGTATGATCTAGTCAGTTCTTGGTGGGTGATGTGTTGTCAGTCTCACATTTGTATGGTCTAGCCGGCTCTTGGTGGGTGATGTGTTGTCAGACTCACATTTGTATGGTCTAGCCGGCTCTTGGTGGGTGATGTGTTGTCAGACTCACATTTGTATGATCTAGCCGGCTCTTGGTGGGTGATGTGTTGTCAGACTCACATTTGTATGATCTAGCCGTCTCTTGGTGGGTGATGTGTTGTCAGACTCACATTTGTATGATCTAGCCGGCTCTTGGTGGGTGATGTGTTGTCAGACTCACATTTGTATGATCTAGCTGGCTCTTGGTGGGTGTTGTGTTGTCAGACTCACATTTGTATGATCTAGCCGTCTCTTGGTGGGTGAGGTGGTGTCAGACTCACATTTGTATGATCTAGCCGTCTCTTGGTGGGTGATGTGTTGTCAGACTCACATTTGTATGATCTAGCCGTCTCTTGGTGGGTGATGTGTTGTCAGACTCACATTTGTATGATCTAGCCGTCTCTTGGTGGGTGATGTGTTGTCAGACTCACATTTGTATGATCTAGCCGTCTCTTGGTGGGTGATGTGTTGTCAGACTCACATTTGTATGATCTAGCCGTCTCTTGGTGGGTGAGGTGGTCAACATTGTGTCAGAATCATTGCCTTCCAAGTTCATCATACCTAGCGGCTAGATGCTCACATGTGGATTGGAAGGTCGGGAGTTCAGATCTTGACCTTTTTCATGTTTTTAAAAAATGACCTTGACTCCCAGGTCCACCCAACCTTGAGTGTGTGCCAGGTGCAGTCCTGGGAAGTAAAGGCGGCCGGCGTGGTGTTGACCTGATCACCCACCAAGTGCCGAATGGTCTATAAATTTGAAGTCTAGCCCTATATGCCCAATACACCCAAGGTGTGGAAAAGGTTCCTTAACTATTTTATTTTTACATCATACCTGCAATCCATTTACACGGCCTTGACCTGACAGCCAAGGTTATTTGGTTTTTTTCCACAAACATCTGCAGTAGATTCAAACCCCAGAGGCCAGCAGCTGAGTCTATAGCCAGCGCTTTTTTCTGGCGTGTTCAACAGAGTGCAGTGCTGGCTATTTTTTCCCATTATGTTCTTGTTGCGTGTCGATTTGAGGCTTTCAACGTAGTTTATGTTAATTCTAGTATAGGCTTGTTAACTGGGTTGTTGACATGACCTGAGTCAATATTTGATTCTGTGTTGACTTAGGACAGAAGGTGTCAGTGCGGCCTGAGTCAATATTTTGACTCTGTGTTGACCTGAGACCAGAGTTGACCAGTGGATTCACATGGTGTCAACCGGCCTGGATAAATAGTCATATGATATAAACGGTAATGATTGTGGGTATCTCAGTTATCACGAAGTACTCACAGAGTGCTCACACCTGTAGATACGTGGGCGCAAGAGTGCGCAGTCCAGTTGAGAAGAGTCGAGCAGAGAGAGCTGTGTGTTCCTCTGTGAGAAAACTTGTCATGGGTGAGGATGTGTGTGGCGGTCATGTTCACTACCAAAACAACACAGTGGTTCTTATTATGAGGAGTGAACCTCGTAGATGTTGGCTATCGGCTGTGTGCTGATGGGACTCAGAAGTTGGGAGTCCGGCCGGTCATCCTAGAATTCCTCGATGGGGCTGATTTTCTGTGTGCATTCTGGGGAACTTAAGTGTTGTAGGGGTTCCCATTCAGCCGATGTAAAGTGCCTGTTACTGAGTATAGCAGTCAGAGGTCAAGCTGAGTAAGTTAGATGGAGCTTGTTCATTCTTACTACTAGTCCTGAAGTGAGCCAGCGACCGATGCACTGAAGCAGAGAGCTTGAAAGTCTGATTGACAGCCAGTGGTTGCTGTTCTGTGCAGCACCCCACGACTGTTTTGGAGAGTGTGGAGCTTGTGGGGCTTATTGCATGTTAGCCAGTGTATAGACATACGTGACGTTGTTCCATTGTTATTCATTGTGTGCGGGTTAGTAGACCTGAATGTTCTCGTAAAATAAATATATGACAGACAATTGTTAAGTTTTCATGACTGTGCGAGTGTTGCAAAGTTCAAGCGCAAATCATAACCTAGACACTTGACTATATGCTCCTAGCCTGCCACCTATATTCAGCGTACAACAGTTCTTTAGCATTTCTGTATTAGACACTTCATAGTGAGTGACTATGCACCTTTTTGGACACTTTGGGATGAGTACTGTCATCTTTTCTTCCCCAGGGAAAAATCCTTGCATATAGCTGTTAGGTGAACAGGGCTCCCTAATCTGTTATACTTGCTACTTATATTTTTATGATACCTCTTTTCCTGTTATCTGTGTTCAGGGGCTCGAAAACTGGAGGGCACAGGAGTCTTGTGCCTCCACAGACAAAGCAATTGTTTTCCTTCTGTCCCATACACATAAACTTCTCATAAAAAAACATCACTCTTTAACCTTCTCCATCATTCCTTGACTTACAATTCATGTTCTCACCTCTTGTAAAAGTCAACTCTGGTCATTCAATATAATCTCCTGTCATGGAAGATAATTAATCCCATTTCTACCCTATGATTTCTGATTGCAGCCACATCGCACTACTGGAGTACATTGACCGACAGTTCAAGCAGTTTTTCGAAGATGAGTCCGGGTTGAACAGGAGAAATATTCTTGACAATAGAGTCCACTGTTGTCTGTATTTTATCTCCCCATACGGCCATGGGTATGTTTTCCTTGTTGTTATCTTTCTGTTGTTGTCCCTGTATTTTATCTCCCCGTACAACCATAGGTATGTTTTCCTTGTTGTTATCTGTCTGTTGTTGTCTCTGTATTTTATCTCCTCGTACGGCCATGGGTATGTTTTCCTTGTTGTTATCTTTCTGTTGTTGTCTCTGTATTTTATGTCCCCGTACGGCCATGGGTATGTTTTCCTTGTTGTTATCTGTCTGTTGTTGTCTCTGTATTTTATCTCCCCGTTCGGCCATGGGTATGTTTTCCTTGTTGTTATCTGTCTGTTGTTGTCTCTGTATTTTATCTCCCCGTACGGCCATGGGTATGTTTTCCTTGTTGTTATCTGTCTGTTGTTGTCTCTGTATTTTATGTCCCCGTACGGCCATGGGTATGTTTTCCTTGTTGTTATCTGTCTGTTGTTGTCTCTGTATTTTATCTCCCCGTATGGCCATGGGTATGTTTTCCTTGTTGTTATCTGTCTGTTGTTGTCTCTGTATTTTTTTATCTCCTTGTATGGCCATGGGAATGTTTTCCTTGTTGTTATCTGTCTGTTGTTGTCTCTGTATTTTATCTCCCCATATGGCCATGGGTATGTTTTCCTTGTTGTTATCTGTCTGTTGTTGTCTCTGTATTTTATCTCCCCGTACGGCCATGGGTATGTTTTCCTTGTTGTTATCTGTCTGTTGTTGTCTCTGTATTTTATCTCCCCGTATGGCCATGGGTATGTTTTCCTTGTTGTTATCTGTCTGTTGTTGTCTCTGTATTTTATCTCCCTGTACGGCCGTGGGTATGTTTTCCTTGTTGTTATCTGTCTGTTGTTGTCCAGTCTGCATTATAATTACCTTTCTGAGTCTTCAATTGTCTCCAGTATGCCTTCTGTGACGGTGGTTGGCACATTGTGTTGTGGTTTATAGCTGGGCTGTGATATCTGTGCCTTTTAACCCACCTCCAATTTAAGCAAACCCCTAGTTAGTTGCCTTTTGTGACATGCTTGTTACTGACACACTTGGTCAGTTCTAATTTCCCCCAAAATTAAATCCACAGGGAGAGGAATTGATGTCTAAGATGTGGCCGATAGCCTCTTTTCTTCTGCCTTTCTAACCCTATGGAGCATAGGCCCTCAACCAAGTCACACCAAGTTGTTCTATCCGTCGATATCGCATGCAGCTCTCCCTCTCCCCATGTCCTCCCCATCCCTTCAACTTCATTCTCTAGCTCCCCTGGCCATGGGTTTTGTGGATAGCCTCAGGGATGTGTCAAACACTTAGCTAGCAGCCCAGACAGCACACACAAACACTTAGCTAGCAGCCCAGACAACACACACAAACACTTAGCTAGCAGCCCAGACAACACACACAAACACTTAGCTAGCAGCCCAGACAACACACACAAACACTTAGCTAGCAGCCCAGACAGCACACACAAACACTTAGCTAGCAACCCAGACAACACACACAAACACTTAGCTAGCAGCCCAGACAACACACACAAACACTTAGCTAGCAACCCAGACAACACACACAAACACTTAGCTAGCAGCCCAGACAACACACACAAACACTTAGCTAGCAGCCCAGACAACACACACAAACACTTAGCTAGCAGCCCAGACAACACACACAAACACTTAGCTAGCAGCCCAGACAGCACACACAAACACTTAGCTAGCAGCCCAGACAGCACACACAAACACTTAGCTAGCAGCCCAGACAACACACACAAACACTTAGCTAGCAGCCCAGACAGCACACACAAACACTTAGCTAGCAGCCCAGACAGCACACACAAACACTTAGCTAGCAGCCCAGACAACACACACAAACACTTAGCTAGCAGCCCAGACAACACACACAAACACTAAGCTAGCAGCCCAGACAGCACACACAAACACTTAGCTAGCAGCCCAGACAACACACACAAACACTTAGCTAGCAGCCCAGACAACACACAGTCAGTTAGACTTTTTTGCAGAAGGACAGACAAGAAAATAAGCACTACGAATAGAGTTCTCAAATTATGCCATTTTCGCTGGAACAGTATTGTCTGTAATTTTTTTATTTTTTTAGGTAGGCCCAGACAGCCGAGTCAATACCCCCCCCCCCCTCCCCCCCAAATCACAAGTCATGTATTTAAGAGAGAAAGCAAATCTCAAGTCATGTATTTAAGAGCGAAAGCAAATCTCAAGTCATGTATTTAAGAGAGAAAGCAAGTCACAAGTCATGTATTTAGGAGAGAAAGCAAATCACAAGTCGTATATTTAGGAGAGAAAGCAAATCTCAAGTCATGTTCTTAAGAGAGAAAGCAAATCACAAGTCATGTATTTAGGAGAGAAAGCAAATCACAAGTCGTGCATTTAAGGGAGAAAGCAAATCACAAGTCATGTATTTAGGAGAGAAAGCAAATCACAAGTCATGTATTTAAGAGAGAAAGCAAATCACAAGTCGTGTATTTAGGAGAGAAAGCAAATCTCAAGTCATGTATTTAAGGGAGAAAGCAAATCACAAGTCATGTATTTAAGAGAGAAAGCAAATCACAAGTCATGTATTTAGGAGAGAAAGCAAATCACAAGTCATGTATTTAAGGGAGAAAGCAAATCACAAGTCATGTATTTAGGAGAGAAAGCAAATCTCAAGTCATGTATTTAGGAGAGAAAGCAAATCACAAGTCGTGTATTTAAGGGAGAAAGCAAATCACAAGTCATGTATTTAGGAGAGAAAGCAAATCACAAGTCATGTATTTAGGAGAGAATGCAAATCACAAGTCATGTATTTAGGAGAGAAAGCAAATCACAAGTAATCTATTTAGGAGAGAAAGCAAATCACAAGTCGTGTATTTAAGGAAGAAAGCAAATCACAAGTCGTGTATTTAGGAGAGAAAGCACATCACAAGTCATTTATTTAAGGGAGAAAGCAAATCACAAGACATGAGATTTTAACCCTGGTAAACAATGTGGATTACATTGTGAAATGATGTGCCCAGCCTCTATGCCACATAAGCACACATAAGTCACATAGCCACACATAAGTCACATAGCCACACATAAGTCACATAGCCACACATAAGTCACACAGCCAAACATAAGTCACATAGCCACACAGAAGTCACAGAGCCACACATAAGTCACATAGCCAAACAGAAGTCACAGAGCCACACATATGTCACATAGCCAAACAGAAGTCACAGAGCACTTGTTCACTTCTCAGACTGCGACAGATCGATGTCCAGACAATGAAAAAGTTGCACAACAAGGTGAATATAGTCCCACTGATTGCTAAGGCTGATATTCTCACCAAAGATGAGCTCAAGAGGATGAAAAATAGAGTGAGTGGCTTTGTCGTGTCATGTTTATGTTTTTTTTTTTTTAATCCAGAAAGTTATTCCTAGTTTATTTATTGTTTATGTCATCATCATTCTCAGTCACCAGGTTCTTTATGGAACGTCACGTCACAGCACACATGGTATCTCTAGCCTATTCCCCAGCTCAATGTGCCTTCATAGCCAACACATCTTCAGTATCAGGATGCTGTTTGTGAGCCAGTTCGCCTCGATGTTCAGATCCTGTAGGACGTCCGTGTTTTGTTGTCTTAGTCTGTGAAATTCTAAGAATTGTTCTGTAACATTTCAGCTCAAAAGCTGTTTCTTCAATGATTGAATAAGAGTCCTCCTTCGAAGTCAGAGTGCATCTGCCTATTGCTTTTGGAATAGGACTGCGGTCCAGAAGTGGATGAACAACCAGAACTTTCCACCAGAGTTTTCAGCTGGTGAACGCGAACGAAGAAGATAAAAAATCTTACAAACATTGTGTTATTACAATAGTGCATTTATTGTGTCATTAGTGTTGATTATCCATGTGGATTTCATCTTCAAGAGTATTGATCTTCAAAGATGGCATGGGCATTCCTTGCCGTCTGCACATGGATTTAAGTTCCAGCAATAAATTGCTTGACTTTCCCATGGAGGTCTCTGGGGCTGTCTATGTGCAACAGTGGTGAAACTATGGGGGTGTCTATGTGCAACAGTGGTGAAACTATGGGGGTGTCTATGTGCAACAGTGGTGAAACTATGGGGGTGTCTATGTGCAACAGTGAAACTGGGGGTGTCTAAAACATGGGGGTGTCTATGTGCAACAGTGGTGAAACTATGGGGGTGTCTATGTGCTATGTGCAACTATGTGGTGAAAAACTATGGGGGTGTCTATGTGCAACAGTGGTGAAACTATGGGGGTGTCTATGTGCAACAGTGGTGAAACTATGGGGGTGTCTGTGTGCAACAGTGGTGAAACTATGGGGGTGTCTGTGTGCAACAGTGGTGAAACTATGGGGGTGTCTATGTGCAACAGTGGTGAAACTATGGGGGTGTCTATGTGCAACAGTGGTGAAACTATGTGGGTGACTGCTGTCTATGTGCAACAGTGGTGAAACTATGGGGGTGTCTATGTGCAACAGTGGTGAAACTATGGGGGTGTCTATGTGCAACAGTGGTGAAACTATGGGGGTGTCTATGTGCAACAGTGGTGAAACTATGGGGGTGTCTGTGTGCAACAGTGGTGAAACTATGGGGGTGTCTATGTGCAACAGTGGTGAAACTATGGGGGTGTCTATGTGCAACAGTGGTGAAACTATGGGGGTGTCTATGTGCAACAGTGGTGAAACTATGGGGGTGCTGTCTATGTGCAACAGTGGTGAAACTATGGGGGTGTCTATGTGCAACAGTGGTCAAACTAGGGGGGTGTCTATGTGCAACAGTGGTGAAACTATGGGGGTGTCTATGTGCAACAGTGGTGAAACTATGGGGGTGTCTATGTGCAACAGTGGTGAAACTATGGGTCTGTCTTTGTGCAACAGTGGTGAAACTATGGGGATGACTGCAGTCTATGTGCAACAGTGGTGAAACTATGTGGGTGACTGCTGTCTATGTGCAACAGGTTTTTTCATTGTCATAGGTTATTTATATAGATTCATAAAGTCAGGCGGTCAGGTCATTCAGTCAGGCGGTCAGGCACACCAAGTTGTCATATACTTGTAATCAGATAGAGCTCCCAAATCTGTGATGGAAATAGGTCTTGATTCACTCTTCACAAACATCTTGTGAACTCAATGAAGCTTTAACTTTCACCTTGCAGATTTTACAAGAGATTGAGGAGCATGGTATCCGAATCTACGAGTTCCCCGACTGTGACAGCGAGGAGGATGAGGAGTTCAAACAACAAGATAGCGAGCTGAAGGTAGATGCCATCTTCCTTCTTCATCTTTCTAGCATCGACCTTTCAGGTCTCTACCTTTTTTTTTTTTAAAATAAATTTCCCGCTGCTCTAGGATTTTTGCGGCATCCGTGGCTAAGGCGTTGCGAGTCCGACTCGTAAGCCAGCATACCGCGATCGAAACCCACTGCAGGCTGCGTGGATTTTTGTCGTGGTATGGGACGTCGCAGGTCGACCCAGCCTAAAATGGGTACCAGGATGGGCTGTCCTGGGAAAGTAAAGACAGTCGGCGTAATGCTGACCACATTACCCACAGAGTGCTGATGGTCTGTAAAATATGGGACGCTCTGCCCATATGCCCGATGCGCCGAAAGGCGTGAAAAGGGATCTTTACTTACGTTTACTTGGATTTTTACTTGATGGGGAGCTTTTGAAATACTTGGGTCTCCGTGGCGAAGTGGTCAAGCCATTTGCTGGCGTTCTGACGGTCGGGGGTTCGTTTCACAACTAAATCATTTAGTCACTAATGACTCATTAATAGATCTCTAGGGATCATCACTGAAGCTACGGAATTCAACATTTGTGTGCTACTCCAGGCAGGCAGGTCACTGTTCTTTGGTGAGAGACTGAGTCATATGAGTTAAAACTAGGGCTTTTTTCTGGCAGTGCACTGTACCAGCATCCCTTTTTTTTCAGACATTAGTTGTTGTTTTTTCAGCACAACTATAAGAAGTACGGGGAGCACCAGCACCTTTCATTTAAGAAACAAAATTTGTAAATGACCAGTAAAGTCAATTCTCTTGAAGTTTTCCGAAACTGTCCAAATGCATTGTCATCAATTTAATTTCTAAGCTTATCAACTGTAGCAATGTTTGGGCACCATTTTTTTAATTTCAGCATTTGAAACCGACGGTGGCATGAGCGCCTACACCAGGTGGCAGGGCATGTGATGATGATGATGGAACTGGCCAGTCATCTCTCTGTTTAATGACTCTCCAGCCAAACAGGAGGAGGGATTAATATTGACCTTTGGGGCAAATGTGAAACACAAATCCCTTCCCCCCCAAAAACAGGGCAAATTAAAAAAAAAAATTGGCATGGATAAATATTGGGGTTTCACTCTGTCTGTGTGTGTATGTGCGCACACCTGTGTGTGTCAGCATCTGCGGCTGAGGCGTTGTGAACACATTTGGTAATCCCGGGTTCTCAGGTTTGATCCCAGCTGTGAACAGATTGTCTTGCATTGGTTTCAACAGTGGTACCAAGAGCCGACCATTCAGTACAATGGCAAACTAATTAATGTAAAATTTGCCTCGTAAAAACTACAACAACCAAAAAATACTGGGGTTGGTTCTGCAACGTCCTGTAAAGGATACACAACTAACTTTTAACTGTGTGTATATCTATATTTATTACTGAATATTTATCATGACAGTAAAGATGATGATGATGACAATGAAGAAATCTCTGATTGAATTGTATTTCTTGCAGGCTTCAATTCCATTTGCAGTGGTTGGCTGTAACACGGTGGTGGAGGCTGGAGGCAAGAAGATCCGAGGCCGGGCCTACCCCTGGGGGATCGTTGAAGGTGGGTTGCGGGGCCGGTGAGTGGGTGCAGTGTGTGTTGGTTGGGTTCAAAGTGGGTTTGAGGGGGTACATGGTGGTGAGTAGGTATGTGATGGGTGAGTAGGTAAAAGGTGGGTAAGTGGATATAAGGTGGGTGATTGGATACATAGTGGGTGAGTGGGTACATGGTGGATGAGTAGGTACATTGTATTTTTGGTGATTTAGTGGGTAATGATGTGTTAGGGTGTGTGTGTGTACGTGTTATATGGCATGTTCATTGGGTCAGTGAATTCACGAAGCATTGAATGTGGGAGTGGGTACATCATACACTGAATCGATCGATAGGTGCTCAGTTATTTTTAGCATTAGTGGAATTCCTAAAATCTATGTAATTCATAATTCAGGTAACTTAAAATGTAAACATTTTTTTTAAATACAGTAAGTTGTAAACATTTTTGATGCAAAGAGCTTACACTCACTGATTTTCTTCAACAGTTGATAACCCCAGCCATTGTGACTTTGTCAGATTGCGCCAGATGCTGATCAGGTATATTTATGTTTGGATATATATGTTTTCTTTTCCTCTTTCTTCCTCTTCCTCTGCAGCAGGGGTGGGTAAGCTATGGCCTCCTGAACAATGTTTGACTGGCCTGCCAGGCTTTTATAAAATTACTAGATAATCTGGCCCTAACATTCACACAAAAAGTAGAACACAAAAATGTTTGTTTGAATGCAGAAAGGAAAACTATGAATATCAGCATCCAAAAACGTTATAATCTAAACAGTGTTAAAACTGATGTCATCAAATACACAGAAGGGCTTCAGTTGGTGACTGTGTTTGGCCAGAGGCAGAGCAAGATGTTATAACCTTTGATTATCCTACACAAATATCCTGGTACCAGGAAATCGTGGTCTTATGTTTATATGAATTTTTTCTACATGGCTATAAGGAAATTAG